ATTTGGTATCATTTGTTCTCTTGATCTTAGCCAGTCTGACTGGGGTAAGATGAAATCTTAAAGTGGTTTTAATTTGCATTTCCCTAATTATTAGTGATGTTGAACATCTTTTAAGATGTTTCAAAGCTATCTTTACTTCTTCTTTTGGGAACTCTCTTTTCAGCTCCTTAGCCCATCTTTTAATTGGGTTGCTTCTTGTCTGGGCTCTCTGTTTTTTTGAGTTTGTTATATATTCTGAATATTAAGCCTCTGTCAGATGTGTCCCTGGTGAAGATTTTCTCCCATACTGTGAGTTTTCTGTTCGCTTCCCTGGTTGCCTCCTTTGATGTACAGAAGCTTTTTAGTTTAATGAGGTTCCATTTGTTAATTCTTGCCCTTGTTTCCTGAGCAATTGATGTCTGGTTTAGAAAATCCTTTCCTACACCTACCCAATGTTTTCTTCTAACAGTTTCGGAGTTTCAGGCTTTATATTGAGGTCTTCGTTCCATTTGGAATAGACTTTTGTGCAAGGTGAAAGATAGGGGTTTATTTTCATTCTTCTACAGGTGGAGATCCAGTTTTGCCAGCACCATTTGCTGAATATGGTGTCTTTCCTTCAGTGAATATTCTTGGCCCCTTTGTCACATATCAGGTGGCTGAAATTGCATTTACTCATATTTGGATCTTCAGGTTTGTTCCATTGATCTGTGGGTCTATTTTTGTGCCAGTACCATGTTGCTTTTAATGACTATAGCTCTGTAATACAGCTTAAAAATCTGGTATAGTAATCCCCCAGGCATTGCTCTTAGTGCTCAAGATTGCTTTGACTATCCAAGATCTTTTGTACTTCCATATGAATCTTAGGATGGTTTTTTCCAATTCTATGAAAAATGTCATGGGGATTTTGATTGGCATTGCATTGAATCTATAAATGGCTTTTGGTAGGATGGTCATTTTCACAATATTAATTCTTCCAGTCCGTGAGCATGGGAGGCCCTTGAATCTTCTGATGTCTTCCTCAATCTCTTTCTTTAAAGATTTAAAATTTTC